AACTGTCCCAAGATCACACAAATAATAAATGAAAGAGACGGGATTTGAACCAGATCTAACCACAGAGTTCACATTTTTAACTGTTATATTAGTGAAATTAATCCCTTAGAGTACTTATTTTCTTTCTTACTTGGGTGTGGGTGATATGGGGTTTGCATAAATCCCATGCCCCTTGAAAAATGATTTTAACATGAAAACATTTATCACAAATAAGGAATTTAGGAATAGAAATGACAAAATGTTGATGAAATTTGATGAGGAAATATGTAACTTAAATTCATTTTATATAGTTATACCTGGGGAGATAATTTTTCATGTACATTTTTATTAAGGAATCAGCCCGCTTCCCGGGCCGCTAGTCACCTCGTCCCCTCGTCTCCGGCGCCTGGGCCCCTCTCAGTCCCCTCATCCCCCGCAGCCTGGTGGCTGGGACCCTGGCTCCGCCCCCCCAAAGTCTGGGCCTCCTCGCCTGCCCCGTGTCCCCCACCTCCAGGGCCGCCCACTGCCCCTGAGCCCTGACCACAGCTCCAAAGGCGGCCCAAGGACGTCGCCGCCGGTGCCAGCCTGGCTGCCACACAGAGGGGCCCCTTGAACCGCGCCCGACTGTACAACGGCCACCTGGAAGGACAGCCTGCCCCTTCGGGTCCCCTAGGCGATTGCGGGGAGACCCAGCTGGCCTTCGGGTACCTGCTTTGGGTGCCAGGAGCCGTGTCACCAGCGGGCTCCTGGTTCGGGGCCAGCAGCAGGTCTCAGGCGGCGGCATTCACTTCCGCGGGATGGCGGTGGCTCTGGGGGGGTGGGGGTGGGGGAGCTGCCAAGGCCCCGCCCGCAGGCCTCTGACCGCAAATCCGAGTTCGCGAAACCGAGTTTCCTTTCCGCAAGGCCCTCCGCACCTGGGTTCGCTGCGATTGACGAAACCGCCACCTGCGCCTGGAGCTCTGCAGGGCACCTGAGACTATGCGATGGGCCCCTTCCTATTTTCAGATGCCGAAGTGACCTTCACTGAAATACTTCACTGACCCCTCCCCCCAAAAATCTGTTTCCTCGCGCACAGAAGCTTCCCTCTCGAGGCGAGCAGGGGCCTCCGGCCCTGGGGACGCTTTCCTGCCCGTGTCCCCCGCCCCGGGGGACATTGCTGCCTTTGCCTTTTGCCCCGGCAGGCGTTTAGCAGCAAAGCCCAGCAGCGTTCTCGTCCCTCCGGCCACATTTCGTATCAGTTTAAAGGGCCCAGCTTGTCCCTCTTCCCAGTCCTGGTCAGGGCAATGCTGCCCCCTCAGAGGAGGCCCGAGAGCCCTTAAGGAAGGGACACTGGCCGGCAGCCAACAAAGAGACTCTGGGGGTGACGCTGGTGGGCGCAGCCGGGAGGCGGAGGGGTGGGCGTGGGCTGGGTCACCACCCATGGCGGGCTTGCCGAAGGAGGGCTAGCGGCATCTGGGGCTGAGGGTCCTGAGGGTCCCTCCCAGCTGAGTGTACCCTGTCCTCACCAACCTGAAGGCAGAAAGGGCTGCCTTCCCGTCCTTCAGCTCCCAACCCAGCACCCTTCCCCAGGGACCACGGGTCCCTCACGTCCCATCGCACGTTTGCCTGTGTGTGTGGTCCTCCCCTCCCACAACGGCCGCTTCGCCGGGACGTGTCTGTCCTGGTCACTGTTGTGGGACCAGCACTGAGAACTATGAACGCCTGGCACACGGTAGGAGCACGGCAAGTACTCCTCTTGAGAGCAAATGCACCCCCATTTTACAGATAGGAAACTGGGGCTCCCAGGGGTGACGATCATCCAGATGGTAAGTGACAGGAGGAAGCTAACCCAGTTGTCACTGTACACCATGCCTGCTTCCCAGTCACCAGCCGCCCCACCGGACGCCGGGCGCACACAGCGCTGCACCCTGGGACAGACGGAGAGGCCGCTCCGCGTTTTCCCCTCCTTCCCCAGAGTCATCCCTGGGGGCGCGGGGGGGGGGGCTGGCCAGTGGAGGCAGAGACTCCGGGGTGTGGGCTGCAAACAAACTTAAGTACTTGACTGTAACCTGCCGTTTGGAAAGCTAACAGACTCCTCTCTCCAGAAAGCGAAGCCCAGATAATCTTCTCGGCGGGTGGAGATGCCAAGGAAAGAGATTTGCTCTCACTCGATGACTCAGCTGAGCAGGGACTGGCCTGGGGGCCACTCAGCTCCCACTAAGACCATGGGAAAGAAGGGAAGCCCCGGTTTGGGGGGCAGGGGCGTGCGGCGCCCTGCCTGACCCTCTGGGGGTGCTCTGAGCCCCACAGCTCCCAGAGAAGGCGCCAGGCGGGCACAGCGCTGAGTCAGTCCCATCCCCTGCTGGACAGCAGCTGAGAGCCCTCCTGGGCATTTGCTGGGACGCAGCCAGACAGCACATGGCATCAGGTGACACAATCAAGGCTGAGCTGGCCCCACTTCCTGAGGCCCCAGGGAGCCCACATCTAAGGGGAGACTGCCATTGGGCACAGGGAGCACGCCGGCTCCGGCTGGCGGATTGGCCAGAGGCTGACCAGAACACCTGCCAGCCCGCCCTCCCGCTGGGGGCCGGGCGGGGCCTGTGGTGGATCTGGAGGGAAGGGCCCAGGCCCTGCGTTCCTGGGAGTGGAGCTGAAGGAGGCAGGGTGGCATCAAGGACAGGGGCCATTGGCATTAAGGGCAGGGACCAGTGCCCAGCCTTTGAAGGCCAGTGACCGGCCTCCGTCTCCAGGTCACCCGGCCTCAGTGTCCTTGCTGGCTGAGGTGAAAGGAACACCTGTCTCAGGCCAGCTCCCAGGAGACCAGCGGAAGCCTGGGCCACTCCCGACCTTGCCTCTCGTGTGTCCGAGCAGGTGCATCCCTCTCCCTACCTGCCTGGGAGAAAGCAGACCAGGACAAAGCCGGAGGGGACTCTGTGGCCGCAGACCGGGAGCCTGTGGGCCGGGGAGCAGCCGATCGCATAGCTGGTCGGGGGCGGGGAGGAGCCGAGTGAGGTGCTGAGGCAGAGCTGCCCCGGCCTGTGTGTTTTCGTACCTCTCGGTGGATGTGCCACAGGTGCAGATGCCACCTGCCCCCTGTAAAGGAAGTGGCCTGTGAATCTCTCATGGGCTGGTGCTGAGACATAGATGAGGTGCGGCCTCCAGGCCTGATTCCTGGGGCCGTGTAGTGGCCGGTGCTGGGGCCGTGAACTCCCCGGGGGGGTGTGCTGGGAGGCCAGGGCTCCGGGGGTGCAGGCCAGGGCATGTGGAGCTGGGGACAGGTGGCCCAGGCTCAGGGGCCAGTGGAAAACCGTGTGGACGTACCAGTATGTGGGGCACGAGGTGGGAGGGGGGCCGGAAGGCAGAGGCACAGCGCAGACGCCAGGTGAGGGCCTGGAGCCCGGGCCTGCGTGCCTCTGACACTGGTCAGCATAGCCCAGGTCTCAGATGGGTCCTCGGAGACGGCCTCACCCAGCCCTCCACCACCAGACAGGAACGGAAGGGTAGGAAGACACCCCAGGGTCCCTGGCCAGCAAGACGGGGTTTGGTGCAGGCCGTAGAGCCCGAGGCCAGACCCAGGTGGCCCTGTCCAGCCCCCCGGGAGACCTGGACCCACCCTTCCTCCCTGGGCCTCAGCTTCCTCATTTCCGCCCAGGGGACAGCGAGAGGCTCCTGGGGGCCCGGTGGGGCAGGCCGGGCACGAGACGCCACCCCCAGCAG